ACATTGTGACATCACAGAGTGGCCAAAATCTGATCAGCTCATTTCAGACAGGTTTATATATAAATGGATCAGGACAAAAAGCGAGAGAATCTTTTTTCCTGAAACTTTCCGAATCTCCTAACACAGAGGGGACACATGTTTATACATAAAAGACATGAAAACGTATATTTTGCATAATAGGTCAAAATAAATGTGTAAAATCTCTGTGTGTTCCCTCAGGTGGCCTCCCTCGGTGTGACCACCTTCACGCTGTGCGCCCTGTGCATCGACCGTTTCCGCGCGGCCACCAACGTCCAGATGTACTACGAGATGATCGAGAACTGCACCTCCACCACGGCTAAACTAGCAGTCATCTGGATCGGCGCTCTGCTGTTGGCCCTGCCGGAGCTCCTCATCCGACAGCTGGTGACCGAGGACACGGGAAATCCTGACGAGCCTCCTGTTGAACGTTGCATCATCAGGATATCCACCTCGCTCCCCGACATGCTCTACATTCTGGGTTTGACCTACGAGGGCGCCAGGCTTTGGTGGTGCTTCGGCTGCTACTTCTGCCTCCCCACCCTCTTCACTATCGGCTGCTCTTTGGTGACGGCGCGTAAGATCCGTCGGGCGGAGCAAGCCAGCGTGCGCAGCAACAAGAAGCAGATCCGTCTGGAGAGCCAGATGAACTGCACCGTCGTGGCGCTGGCGATCGTGTACGGAGCGTGCGTGGTGCCGGAGAACATCTGCAACATAGTGTCCGCGTACATGGCGGCCGGTGTTCCTGAACACACCATGTCCGTCCTCCATCTTCTGTCCCAGCTGCTGCTCTTCTGTCGGGCCGCCGTGACCCCGGCGCTGCTGCTTCTCCTGTGCCGTCCGCTAGGAAGAGCTTTCCTGGACTGCTGCTGCTGCTGCTGCTGTAACCACGCGCCCTCCTCGGCAACCGGCAGCGACGACAACGAACACGAGTGCACCACCGAGCTGGAGCTGTCTCCGTTCAGCACCATCCGCAGGGAGCTGAGTAACTACACCCCTGCAGGCTCCCACTGCTAAACTGACGTTCCTCATCAGGGATGGAGACGTCGCTAGCCTGCTATTAGCCTTCAGCTAGCGTTTCTCGGACTCGGCTAGGAGAGATATGCCTTAGCTAGTCTAGTCACATTTTTAAATGGGTGCATGAATAAAGTGGGACACTGAATAATCACATTCAGCCAGTGTCCTAAATCCTTAACTTTCATTCCTTACAACATTCACTGTAACCTGTATGACCCTAATTTCACAGGAAAGCGTACAAAAAGCATCTTCTTCACTCATGCCCTGGGGTGCTCTTCAAACAGGGTCAGTACTTATTTTAAGCAATCCTGCCTGAACCTGTAATACTTACAATTACAACAAATACTTACTAACCTGCCTGCTGTATGACCTTCTATGCCTGAATATCAGTTCGGATACCTGGTTCCTTAAAAGAGGTAATATCTTCTTAAATGGAAAATGAAATGTCCCTCAGTCTCATTGTATGGGCAGGTTAAGCTAAAACTATTTATACTGTTACACAGGAATATCATTGTACAGTATGCATCACAATATGTTCTGGTTAATTTAATAAAATAAAATCACTTGGGATGATGAAGTGTATTTGGCCGTCATTTAATAATAATTACGTATGGGAAACTATACTGTATTATTATCGATGCCAATCATCTTCCTAGTGAGTCATTGTTGAAATTCTGGAGACTAATTAATTAAGCTTAACCTTGTATAATAACTAAAAAATGTGGGCACACACTGCCTATATAGAAATACAGGACTTAGTTTACAGACTATATAAGCTGCATATGTACAATTCATGTAATGCTGCACACAAGGGAACAAGGATAATTAAAAAAAACTAGTGCAGGGTGTCTCTCAGTAATGACAGTTTGCAAGAGAAGAAGAGAGTGGGTTGGACGATCCAAATGTACACAACAAAACTTAAACTGTATATTGAAAAATATCCAGGGGACTCAAACATTACTGGGCTGGTCTCAGAGATACATAAACACGGACTTGAGTGGAATGAAAATGGACTCAAATTGGAGTTGAATGGATTGGATAGGAGTCAAATGAAATTGAATGGAGGGAATATAAATACAGAGAACTGCAAGGGATGGACTCAACACGGACTGGACTGAAAATAAATATCTGCACTACACTGTTGTATCATGTTACGCCTTACACGTTGGGCTGTATATAAACTGTACACTTTCTTTGGTGCTCTTACTGTATGATAAATGCGCTGTGAACAACAAATCCTTCGGTTCGAGTTGAAATCGCAAGTAATTGAGCTGCGTGCTGGGATTTTGGTCAAGAAGACAGATTACAGTTGTGTGTGGAATACTTGAACGACGGTGGTGTGAAAAACAAACAAAAGAAAATCAATAAAGAGTTTCACTGAGATGCCGTATAGAGATCGGCTGAAGCCCTGAGTGTTGTTAGACACATAAAATAAAATGTGGTCACACTTTATTTTACAGTAGGCTGTGGTTAATAGGTTTTAATGAGGTACAGACTTGAATAGATTATCAAGCATCTGCATATTTGTATTAATACATCAGTATAGGAATACAATTTATTTTTGTTTTATGTAACACATTAACAGTGAGATTAACTATCAATCGTTAACTTGGTCGTAACAGCATATTACTTAATTACTATCACAAAAAAGTGTCAATACTGCATTAGTAAATTGTTCATATGACTACTTTTTAAGTGGTTTATTGGATATCAATTATGTTTTTTTTTATTTCTTAACTGTAAAACAAAGTGCTACCATTATTGTACAATCAAAACGTAGCAATCACATAATGCTAACTTTGTGTCAGGGACAAACAACTTCACCGTCAGGCTTTTAGCAATATGTAATGTATGTGACCATCAAATGTATATTTAAGATCACTTTTTACAGGGTTCTCAGTTTAAAATGACTTTATGAACCAACGCAGGCTGCTAATGTTAGCTTCGTTAGCTACCTAGCTACAGCTAATGGAATCAACAGATCGTGTTCTTAGCACATAGAAGAAAGAAATCAGAGCCGTCTTTTCTACTTATATCTATAATGAAGGACCCATTGTGTCAATTGGAAGGTTAATTGAAAATCTGCCTCTGTCGTCAGCATATGTGCCATGCAAGAAAAAGTTAGCTTAACTAGCGTAGCAACGACGACCTAAGAGGGTGAGTTTTCATGGATGGTAAATTAACAGAAAAAAAAATAATTCTTCACTTATAATAACATTGGCAGTTTCATTACTTGGGTTTTTTAAGGAGAACCAATGAAATGTTTTTCACAGCGTGTACATTTACAAGTGTATTGTACTGTAAATCTGTTTTCTTAATCCTACCAATCAGACCTGGGTCAAAACAACGTTCCACCCTCCTTCACAATGTCTAACAACGCAGGTAATTGAAGTTACGGTAAGTGTATAAGAGGCATCTCAGGATGACTAAAATGTACTTAAAAGCCATTAATGTGCTTGTTAACCGAATAAAAGACATGTTCCTAACAGTGTATAGAACCAAAATGGCTGCTGGTGAACTCTGTGATGACCCAGGTGTGATATTCAGTGGTATTCTGTATATTGCGATGAATCTTTTACATACGGTTCTGCACTGCCAAACACCTTCTCTCTGTCTGTTTCTCGTGCTCTTGTGGTAGTAGCACACTATCTCTGGGTGTCTCTCTCAGCGCGGAGGTCAGCTCGCCCTCAGCTCCATCGACACAGGATTTTACTACGAATCATAAATCACAAATGATATGACAGTGCCCAGGGCGAGTCATACTAAAAATATACTCTGAGAGAGAATCTGTGGATGACGGGTGTTTTGTGTTTTTCCTGCCATGGCTGGAGGCAACAACCCTTTAGCTTTAATGAAGTGCAGTTTACGAGCTCCAAGAGATCCAGGTAGGATGCAGTTCCTCAAGTTAATGGAGGAAATGGGCAGAAGCACGGCAACACAATACCCTGCAGCCGGTTTGACAACTATTTTTATTACCATCATTATCAGGCTATTGTGGGCCCTTGTGTAAACCTGTCCAGGGATCTCAGTTGATATGCTCTAGCACTAGATTATATTATTAAATCAAAAAGTTTTTTTATGTCCAGTTCACTTTTGGTAACGTCAGGATTTCCCCATTTATTTGATGCGACAAGTGTTAGCTGACCTCCTGAAACTGATTCTCTTTTTCTGCATTTTTTCTGGAAGTATAGCCCATTCTAAATGGCTCAGTGTGTAGTAACGTGGTTCAATTCAATATTGATGAAGTGATTCTTGTTAATCAGTCAGTGGGACGTTTATTCTGAATTTTGTGAGTATCCTCTTCACTCTGAGCTAATTGTGTCTGTATTTGATACCTGAAAATGTAAGCACACAACCACTATTGTCTCTAAGTCTATAGTCACTGGTTTCTACATAGCTTTTTATATAGCCAAAAACTGTCCCTTTGTTTATCAGAGAACTTTATCTTGAAAACTGTATATTAAAACCCTAAATGTACTGTTGATGCCGTGTTGATTTCTTGTGAGTACTAAGGTCAATTTTGTCTAAAACGTATTTGAGAATAGTGAAGAGAAAATAGAAGTCCATCATGTGAATGAAACTATATGTCATCATCACCTCAAGCACATTTTATGTAAAAGGGATTATCCAGACCAGTGCATTCATGGAAAATGTTTGTTTCTCTAGCAATGGAATATTTCTACTAAATACGTTGAACTTTAAAAAAGAGAGTTGAAGATCGATCAAGCAGTGATTCTGTAGAATGGGTCAAACTCACACAACTTTGAATCCTACAATTCTCATAATGCAACTGAACTGAACTAGTTAATATACCTTATAAAATCAAATCAGGCATGAAATCCCGATTATTATTCGTCATTCCTTGTGACAGGGGTGAATGTGAAGGGGTTTCAATTTTGGAATAACATTAGCCGCCGGCATGTCATTTAGGACATCAACACTTGTGCTTGAATATTCCAAGGCAATAGTTTGCTATCATCATATTAAGCCTGACAATCTTATGGCGCATTTCCACTGCAGCGGGTAGCCCCGTTTAAGCGTCCTTAATCGTCCTCAAGCGGCCAAGCCAGTTTTTGGTGGCCTTTCCATATAGCGTAGCACCGGCTAGCGGGTACTTTTTCCCTCTTTTTCCGGCCCCATAAAATCGTGTTTCTATCAGTCCAGGGCCAGGGCTGAACTAGTGACGTCAACACTCTCGACTGCTGATTGGTCAGAGAGAATCGTCACAAGATCGCGCGCGAGATCATCCCTAGCGTCGCATATATATCTAGAAGCAAGCTTGCAGCATTTTTATACACAGCATTTTTGTAAACGGAGGGGCTACAAAAATGGCAACAAAGAAAAGCACACCGTGGTCGACCGAGGAGGTGACGGCGTTCCTACATCTCGATGTGAACAAAAAAAGCCGATCGCCCCGCCTACACTGCGTTGCTACCCCAGGTCCTAAACTGTAATGGAAATGCGCCACGGCCTCGGACGGCCAGCGAGGCAGCCCGAGGCCTGAGCGAGGACGCTTAGGGACGCTTAAACGGGGCTACCCCGCTGCAGTGGAAATTTGCCATTAGTGCCCTGGCACTTAGTAGGCTACCCAGGGTTTCTGCTAGGATTTTTTCTCGCCGGTCAAATGTCCGAACAGAATTTATTTTACCGGACAAATTTGAAACCTACCGGTCATGTTTCAATAATAATAATAAGAATTGTGTAGCAGAGTTTCTGTTAGCAGGTAATTACCGGACTAGGACTGGATATGCTGATGTTTAAAACTCAGTTAATGGGAGTCATTTTTATATTGCTTCAGTTTATAATCGTAACAGATCGAAAAATTCAGA